TGGCGCCTTCTACTGCGCGGACGGTCGACGTCATGAATGAAACAAACGACGCTCAGTGGGTTAAAACGACATCCTGACAAAATCATTTTCACTAATTTTTCGGCATTCAGAAAGCCATTTAGCGGAAATGGACCATAGTTATATACTCAGTGCTCATGTCCCTACACCATGCAAAAAACCATTTTCAAAAAGCGTCCCACGCCCTGAAAGACTTTCCTTGTAAGCTGCACCATGCCACGCGAAGTAGTGGATAATATGCAATCATTGCATGATCGTTCGCAGTATAGGGCAGAAGTCAGCACACAACTAAGAGGGTGCAATAATGTGAGCATCTCTGGCATTCCGCCTCCACCCGGGTACAGGAATATTTTTTCGATTGCACCTAATCAAGCTCGCCTCGCATCTAGGCGCGAAGAGACCTTAATTAAGTGCAAAGACTACGCAATAATTATGCTGCCCGCACTCGCTACTATTCAGTTGACACTTGTCAACTCTAGCGGATAATGACAGTTAAAAAACAGGAGTTTCTATCAAAAAAATTAATTTTTTTCCGAAAGAAAAAGTTCCAATATCAATTCAAACGGTTTTGAGAGTTCAATCTCCATGCATAATAAATGAATTCAATATATTTCATTTCTAGTTCCTGTAAAATGGGTAAAACAGTTCAGTTTACTTCTTTTTTGGGAATTTTCGCTTATTTGCGATATCAAGCAACCTTTACAGAAGCGGTGTAGTTCTCTAGAGTGGTTTAATATGGGACTACTCTTCATTGATAGGTCCTTGAACTCTCTACGGCTCACAATTCAGGCCATTTCACAAATTTAACGACATACAAGTCTTCAGGCTAATTTCAGCACTTGAAGAGAGGTCATCGAGGACTATTCAACCAGGTGAGTGAGTGCGTTAACTAGTACTGCTTACTTGACAAGACATTAACATGTATTCTGGAGACGCACTGTACTGTTTCGATAAACTTACAGGGTGTCCCCCGCTCCATATTATTCAAGAGTGCGCGGCCCATGTGACCCATTTCCCACTTATAAAGTTTAGGTTTTATTTTTGGTATTCTTATTACTGAGGAATTGAACAGTTTTCTCCCGTATCACAGAAACTTTAATCACAAAATACATTGACATTATTTATTATGCGTGGAAATAGATCTCCCAAACCGTTGGAATTGATGTTGGAACTTTTTCTCAATAAAATTGTTTTTAATAGAAACTCTACTTTTCAAGTGATATTATCGTCTTTACTTGACAAGCTTTAATTCGTTTTTTAAATTCGATTAGTGGCCAGGCTAGGCAGCATAATTATGGCGTAGTCTTCGCACCTAATCGAAGTCACTTCGCGCCTAGGTGCGAGGCGAGGTTGATTAAGTGCGATCGAAAAAATATTCGCACGCTCCTCCATCCTTCCCCTCTACCTATCTCGGACCACAAAAGCCTGATCATGATGTAGATTCCAAGTTTCGAGTTTTTTTCGGGCCCGCTGTTTGCTTTTCTGCGCTGTATTATAGCAAAACCGATGATAAGGAATCTGACTTTGGCCCAAAAAATGGGTTTAAAGATGCTAAAACAAGTTTCAGATGCTGTGGCTATAAAGACCAGTATGAGCGACTGCGAGAGAATTTGAAGTTTCGCCGCAAGATATGGAAAGAGCTCGTTCACACTCACAGGACAGGCCATTTACCAACCTACATGATCCGAGGAATTCACAAGACAGTACCTCGCTGATATAGGAATATAGGAAGTAGACAGTGTTGGCACGAGTTGCCGACCTCCCTAAAAACATCACAATGCGGCTGAAAAGTGAACTCCTTATCTGTCCGAACCTTTAGGTGAAAAACCCGACCTCATAAAAACGCATAAATTCACCTGTGAGGCGCAGCCATTAATAACCCGTCTTATTTCAAGGCTAGACCTATCGCAAGTAATGTCGGTAGCCCAACGGATAGAATTTCATGGTTCCTAAATTTAATGATTGTACCGCTCTTCAAGTATCTCCCTGCTCACCTCATACATCAACGCGCTGCTAATGAAATCTCGTGATGCTAGGTTGGAGGAGAGGAAGCGTGATGGAGTCATTGTCATGAACCGTCGTTCATGATGTCATTTACACCCTGCCCCGGCGGATTATAAGAGCGCGGAAGGCGGAGCTGAGTCAGTTCCTTGGTTGAATCTGTGCTCGGGAGGAGTAAGCTGCTCACGCTAGCGCGGTGGAGGCAATCGCTCTTCGGTTCAGCCGTCAGGCTGTTACGTCGGAAACCCTGGCGGACTCGCTGGGGACGTTGACAGGTAGAAATTCTAGTACCTCAAGACCCTTCGACGACAAGCATAAGTTCAAGCTTGCAACTCAAATTTCCTGTTCCTAACCACGTCGTTATGTATTGTAGTTGTGATTTGAGTCATTGTACGATTGAGGATTCTATAAATCAAAGGGTAGACGGAGAGTTGATGAATCCAAAGAACCACCAAATTTACATTTGGGAGTGATGCCGCAAAACAGTCTTTTTATGTCATCCCGCTATACATTAATGTGTCGAGTGACTGTGCTATGTAAGCAACATGGGAAATTCTCAACAAATATCAAAATTCTGTTGATCTGTATTGCCTGTCATTATGTCAGGTCATGACAATAATTGGAGAGTGCCTATCGTGCAACATATTCAAATGGTCGTGTATTACCAGCAGATTAGAGAACTAGCGATGAGGCAAAGGCCTGCTCCAGCACTCGCGGTGGCATTAATGTCGAAAATTGAGCAACCCGTTTAATAGCGTAGACCCAATTCATAATGTCGGTATATAGACGACTGTAGACTGACGACTGTTGTGTGCCCCACCAAGATGAAGATGAACACCTGTCTCGAGTTGTTCAACCAACAATCGAAACATATAGCCCGCCGGTCTGCCACCTTAACGTGGTAGGAGGCTGGCGTTTAGGCGTTAAGTAACAATAAATTTTAATTTGGGTGTCCAATTTCAAGTAATTTTAGCTTATGTAACAATAATATTTTTATTTTCCTTTTAATTTTTAGTATTTCATCATATTGACATGAGGTCGCGGTTGAATTCGTTCTTCACGCGTTAAGTTGCGCACAGCAAGCCCTGGTACGTTACGTCTGAGTCATCGCGTTGTGGATCAAGGACCAGGACTCGCTCGGGGAAATATCCGCCTACCAAAGGGGTGGCGTTCTGTCGATCTACCACATGTTCTCATCACTACCATCAGATGTCGACTTGTATGGTCCAAAATCCCTCGCCTAAGTTTTCTACCGCTTGACCGACCGAGGTGCCTTCATCATCTTTTTCATCTTTTAATTACTGTTTATATAAGTATCTATACATGACTATTAATTAAACGGCACGTGTGCATGTCTAAACGGCTAAGAGTAGGCCACCCCAGCTTCCTCTGATCTGGAGTGGCCATAGCCACGATGGTGAAGACCCATCACCGGCACTGGCAAGGCAGTGTTGAGACTCCAAGGAGCAATATTGCTGAAGCAGCAACAAAGCAGCCTCAGTACCCCGCACACTGGGCCCAGCCGTCTCCGGCATCAGACGGTGTGGAGACCGGTGAGAGGCGAAGAAAACTCGGGTTGCCCAGGAAGCCTTAGATTTCGGACTATGACAGCACTCCCTCCACACTACACGGAGATTGATTCCTACTTAATACCTACACGCCTACGGATCTCCTTCACTGAGTTCTCTCTCACTGAAAGATCCCCAGCCGATTAGTGACGAGGTTACGTAGGGCGTCCCCAGGTGGCGGATAGGGGAATAAATCGTATACCAAAAGTCACCGGTACTTGCCTAGACGCAGGTGGATTCAGGGGATGGACTCCTTGATTCCGCTGTGCTGGTCTATATACCTTCTGTTTCTCGCAGGTGCATGCACGCATACGTGTGTGGAGAGTCTGTGGGTGCCATTGGTTTTCTGCCCATCGACCGAGCCAAAAGGTTACATTCGAGTGACTGGAAAGTATCTGGGAGACGATTCGGGGCCGCCTCAAAATACAAAGCCCCTCGTCCACTTTCGCCATTTCGGGAAAGCCTGGCAAGCCCCCGGATTCAACCTATCCGCCACGTCAGAGCCTGGCAAGCTGCACGTTGGGTATCTGCTCGCCGAAAAGAGTAATAGAAATAGGCCTCATTCCCCTGAACCTGGAGGAGCCCCAAATACGGCAGAGTTGGCTAGGACCGCTCGGGAGAGGTTGCTAAAATCTCAGGGTCAAAACAGGCTGCCCTGAAGGAGAAGGACTAAGATGGCGATTTGTACTCTAGACGCACGGACGCTTACATTGGAAGCATGCATAGAAGACCTGGAGATGCAGGCTAGAAAGATCAAGTACGACTTCATCGGACTGACCGAGACGAGAAGGCATCGCCCGCCGCTGCACGCTGTCTCTGAGACTGGGGAAGAATTGTTCCTTGGAACATGCGACAGCACAGGCGTCGGCGGAGTAGGTGTCCTCGTCAATGCGCACTTGGCCATGAACATCGATTCGTGCGAAAGACTAACAACCCGGATCGGGCGTTTGCGATTAGAAAGATGTGGCTGAATCCCAGCTCTAACCATCTTTGTTGCCTACGTACCAACATTGAGCTACGAAGAAGAGTTGGAAGCGTTTCATATGAATCTGGAGAGGTTCTACAGAGAAGACCACACTTTCTTAAAGGTCATGATTTTAACGCCAAGTTTGGCCCTAGAAGAACGGCTGAAGAGCTTCACATTGGGACCCACGGAATGAATGGAATGAGCAGGGTGAAAGGCTGTCTGAGTCTATCATGTCGACCCACACCATCCACGGCAACTAGCAGTTCCAGTAGCCCTCTCTTTTGCAATGGACGTGGGAGCCACCTTGGCTAAGTTTCCATAATGAAATAGATTACATCTTCATCTTTTGCCTGACTGATGTCGCTGCTGTTCCGAAGTTCTACACGGGATCGGGCCATCGTCTCCTCCGTTCTAGATCCTGCTCCTCAGTGTGTGGAGAGAAAGCTATGAAGTTTAAGAAACGAAGCCTCAAGACCTTCATCAACTGGGACCACTTCGCTTCCCTTGCGAGTGAATGGGAAGGTTCCGTTATCGACAATATCAATGAAGAATACAACCGGCTCGTCAAACATCTTCTTGATAACGATAGGAAAGCAGGGAGCCTTCAAGCATCCAAGAGACGGCTTTCTTCGAAGACCGTCGAGCTGATACGTCAGCAAGGAATCGCGCGAGTTGCAGGCAATCATCAACAATTGTCCGAATATGCGAAGCTATGCAGAGAAGCGATAAAGGAAGATCTGAAAGATAAAAGAGCAGCAGTTATGGGCGAAGCCGCCGATGCCGGAAAGAGCATTCGCAAGGCCCGACGGAGTTTCGCCAATTACAAGACCAAGATGACTTCCCTTCGTCGTTGTGACGGAACAGTTACTGCATCTCGAAGGGCAATGGAGAAGGTCATTTACGACTTCTACTTGGATCTCTTCGACAGCCACGTCTACCTGCCTACCCACCATGCTGGGCAAAACGAATATATCGTTCCTTCGGTTCTTCCTTCCGAAATACGACATGCCATCATGTCAATGAAGAGTTGTACGGAGCCCGGTCCCGTTAGGATCAAACCAGAATATCTGAAGAGTCTTCCACCACTTATCGTCGGAACTCTGGCTATTCTCTTCACGCGGTACCTGTCGGAATGCAAAGTGCCCACGTCGTGGAAAACTAGCAAGACTGTGTTGCTGTATAAAATAGAGATCCAAACGATATTGGCAATTATCGCCCACTCTGCCTGCTGTCTGTAATCTATAAGCTTTTTACTAGCGTTATCCTAAACAGGATCGGCAGAATATTAGATGATGGACAGTCATGCGAGTGAGCAGGGTTTCGTAGAGGGTTCGGCACAATCGGTCATATCCAAGACTCATTGAAGTATCGTGAGAGTACAAAATGCCGTTATGTCTTAGGTTCATCGGATTGAAGAAAGTCTTTGACACCGTCAAGACAGAAGCGGTGATTGAAGCCGTGGGCAATCATGGTGCTCTTACTCAATATGTAAAAATGCTTCGTGAGCTCTACATACTTTACGACTAGGATTTCACCATTCTACAAGGAAGTTATTATCAACGTGAAGAGAGGTGTGCGGCTGGGCGATACCGTTTCGCCCAAACTTTTCAGTGCCGCTCTCGAGTACATCATGCGTCAATTGGAATGGGAAGGCTTGAGAGCGAAGGTCGACAGCCGCACATCACCTCCGTTTTGCAGACGACATCGTGCTATATAACACCGAACATCGAGCAGGTGGAACGAATGCTAGCCGACTTTGGCAGTGATTGTGGAAAGATCGGCTTCAGACTGAACTTAACGAAGACGATGTTCATGAAATACGGATTGGTACCTAATGCTCGTTTCACACTAAACGGAACGAATATCTCCGAATGCTCTAGCTATGTGTATCTAGGTCGGGAAGTCAACATAATGAACGGCCTGGCTCCGGAGCTGTGTAGAAGGAAACGCGTGCCGTGGAGAGCATTTAAGAATATCGAGGGAGCACTGAAGAAGAAAAAGGACGTCCGACTCCGCGCTCCCCTTTTCGACACTGCTGTCCTTCCTGCTTTGACGTGCGCCTTGGAGACCTGACTTCCACGAAAGCAGGATGAGCATGCTGCCAGCGTTACTCAACGCACTTCGGAAAGGACGATGCTCAAAATTTCCCTATACGCGCAAGCAAGTGCACGAGGGAATCCGGAGTTCCGAGATCAAGATCAACGAACGAAGATCAAGGATGCTGTTGATTACGCCAAGAAATCAGTATGGGATCAAGAAGAGATCAGGTGGGCCGGATAAGTTATGCGATATAGTGACGACCGTTGGACCTCAACGGTTACTGACTGGATCCCTCGGGACGTCAAACGATCTCCAGGACGGCCGCCAACGATACGGTCAGACTTCTTCGAGAAAGCTGTAAACGGAAAGAATATTGATCCTCGTGTCCCTGAAGCGATGACGATTCATTGGGCCACTCCGGCTCGTGACAGGGACGAATGGAGACGTCACTGGCGCCCGCTCGAGGAAATCGACCATCACTGGGACGACAGGTGATACAGGTGATACCTACAACGCGAGAACCGTCTCTTCCAATGCTGTCCTCTATGAGCTCCTCGATGCGGCTAGTCACATCAAGTATCATGTGATTGCGCTGCAACAAACCAAGAGCAGGAGGACCGACGACGAAGGAATAATGGGACCCTCGTCATTCGTTGTGAAAAGCTTCTATCGCGATACATCGGCCGCGTCGGTTTCGTCGTACACCCATCTGTCGTCCATCTCGTCGATTCTCACGGGGTCCTGTCTCCTCGTTTTGCCATCCTACAACATACGCACTTGAAGACCACCTCTATCGTCAACTGCTACACTCCACACTTTACAGCTGACAGAGTAGAATTCGATGCGTTTTACGACCAACTTGGGGATAACATCCACAACGGTCAGTCTTTCCACAAATTCGTTGTTGGAGTTTGCGGATTATTCCATTATAACAATTACTGCAACTTGGTCCTAGCGACGAACTTCTTTATATCACGGCCCACCCACATTTTCAACATACATGTTGGGTAACATTAAGGTGTTGATAATGCTACTGGTTGTGAACGCCATTTATTTGGCACTTTGTTTTGTCCCAGTTTCAAACAAACATAGGGCATCCACCCACCCGGGTATGTGAATTTGAAAAATAAAAACAAAAACGAAAAAAAAAAACAAAAATAACATGATGAGGATTGAGTGTGTGCTGATTTTCCTTGAAGACAGATTCAAGCATGGTGCAGCAAGCGACTTGTTGCTGGTCCCAGTGCGTTCGTTAGTTGTATCATGTCCGACGGAGCACGTGAAGTCCAAGGTCAAGCGTCAACTTTGTTGATTAATCACATTAAATGGGAGCAGATCAGTTGTTCTGGAGGAATTACTCTGTGAACAAAATAAATTCAGAAGTAGCCTCGTCCTCAAATTTTCTTCTGTATATATATGACAGAAATTGTTTTACACTCCCTATGGAAGGCAGATAATGTCCGCTAATCATTGTTCTGTATGACCACGACCCCATATTCAATTTTCTGGTCTAGGAACTAGTCTAAAAGGTAGGGAGACTGTACAAATTGTAGCTGATGATAATCCATTTTTTTCACATGTTCAATCCGATATANACCTCCGTTTTGCAGACGACATCGTGCTATATAACACCGAACATCGAGCAGGTGGAACGAATGCTAGCCGACTTTGGCAGTGATTGTGGAAAGATCGGCTTCAGACTGAACTTAACGAAGACGATGTTCATGAAATACGGATTGGTACCTAATGCTCGTTTCACACTAAACGGAACGAATATCTCCGAATGCTCTAGCTATGTGTATCTAGGTCGGGAAGTCAACATAATGAACGGCCTGGCTCCGGAGCTGTGTAGAAGGAAACGCGTGCCGTGGAGAGCATTTAAGAATATCGAGGGAGCACTGAAGAAGAAAAAGGACGTCCGACTCCGCGCTCCCCTTTTCGACACTGCTGTCCTTCCTGCTTTGACGTGCGCCTTGGAGACCTGACTTCCACGAAAGCAGGATGAGCATGCTGCCAGCGTTACTCAACGCACTTCGGAAAGGACGATGCTCAAAATTTCCCTATACGCGCAAGCAAGTGCACGAGGGAATCCGGAGTTCCGAGATCAAGATCAACGAACGAAGATCAAGGATGCTGTTGATTACGCCAAGAAATCAGTATGGGATCAAGAAGAGATCAGGTGGGCCGGATAAGTTATGCGATATAGTGACGACCGTTGGACCTCAACGGTTACTGACTGGATCCCTCGGGACGTCAAACGATCTCCAGGACGGCCGCCAACGATACGGTCAGACTTCTTCGAGAAAGCTGTAAACGGAAAGAATATTGATCCTCGTGTCCCTGAAGCGATGACGATTCATTGGGCCACTCCGGCTCGTGACAGGGACGAATGGAGACGTCACTGGCGCCCGCTCGAGGA